ACTGTCATGTAGGGTCTGGAAAACACTGTGTACTTGTAAGAGAAAGAGATTAAAAATGTTAATTACTGAATTGGTATTATTATGACTATCAGTTTGACTCCTGAATTCTCAGGGGCATCCTGAGATCTCCAGCAATATTTTGAGAATTCCTACTCATTCTTCTTTGGGCCTCCACCTCAGTTTTATTAAGATATAATTGAGAAAATTGTAATTTATTTCAAGTGTACAACATGATGATTTGACATACATGTATATAATGAAAGGCTTCCACATACAAGTTAACATATCTATCTCCATAGTTCTTTTTTTTTTTCTTTTGGTGAGAACATTAAGTTCTACTTATCAAATTTCATTTTGTTTTTTTTTAATATTTATTTATGCAGGGCCCTCCCTGGTGGCGCAGCGGACAGCACTGAGAAGCTAAAGCCGCTTCCACATGAGTTCGATTCCCCCCTGCCCCGGAGGTGACTATATGGCGTGGCAGAGTTCTCCTGACCTGCCCGCTGCTCCCCTCAGCAGTGTACTTCCTCGATCTGCCTGTTCTGTTCCCTACTCTGTCTCTGGTGAAGCCTCTCCCCGCCCCTGAGCCTCTGGCCCGCACCCTAGTTCTGTATGCACAAATAAATAAATCGTTTTTAAAAAAAGATTTATTTATGTATACAGAGCTGGGGTACAAGTCAGAGGTGCAGGGGCGATGAGATGATTCACCAGAGACAAAATGGAGAGCAGAACAGGCAGATTGAAGAAGTACACTGCTGAGGGGAGCAATGGGTGAGACAGGAGAGGTCTGCTGCACCATGTGGATCACCTCTGGGGTGGGGGATCAAACTCATATTGAAGAGGCTCCAACCAGCCTCACATAGCTGCTTCCAAACCCACTGCACTAACAGGAAGGGCCCTACTTATCAAATTTCAATGACAATACTGTGTTATTAGCTATTATAACTATATTATATATAACATGAACTTATTGATCTTCTTACAGAAAATTCTTATGTTTTTAGTATTCTTTCTATATAACCCCAACCTCCACTGTTTCTGGTAATGACCATTCTGTACTGATTCTGTTTTTCTTTATTTTTTTTGTTTTGTTTTGTTTAGATTCCATATATGTGATCCCATTTCCAGCAAAGTTATGGTAATCCAAACAGTATAGTATTGGGATAAAAAGAAGTACAAGATCGATGGAATAGAATCCCAAAACTGGAAATAAAACCATCCATAAATGGACAACTATTTTATGCCAAAGAAGACGAAAGAAAGTCTGTTCAATAAATTGTGCTGGGAAAACTGGACAGCTACCTACGGGGGAAAAAGAAAAGAAACTAGACCTTTACACCATACATAAAAATTCATTTAAAATAGATTAGAGGCTTGAATATAAAATCTGAAACCATAAATACATGGAAAAAAAAAGATAAATAAGCTCCTTGAGATCAGCCTTAATGATGTCTTTGTAGATTCATCTCCAACAAGAGAAACAAAATATAAACAAATCGGACTACCTCAAACTGAAAACTTTCTATATAGCAAAATAAACCACTGTTAAAATGAAAAGGCAACCTATTAATAGAAGATATTTGCAACTAGACTAGGTGTTAATAACCAAGATATGTAAACAATTCCTACAACTCAACAACTACAAAAACACACCAATAAAATATGCCAATAAAATATGGCAGCAGATTTAAAAAGGCATTTCACTAAGACAAACAAACAAAACCTGGAAGATTCTCTATTTCAAAACCACAATGAGATTTCACCTCACAGTAATGAGAATGAGTTATCAAAAGTCAAGAAACAGTAAGTGTTGACAAAGTTATGGAGAAAGAAGAATTCTTAGTACAGTGTTGGTAGAAATGTAAATTGGTACAGCCACAATGGAAAACAACAGAGGTTCCTCAAAAACTTAAAACTAAAACTAAAAAAAAAAAAAAAATACCACATCTATGTATTTAAAAAAGTCCACATCTATGTATTTAGCCAAAGAATATGAAAACACTAATTTCAAAATATATATATGTACTCCCATGTTCATTACATCACTATTCACAATAGCCAAGATACAGAAAAAACTAAGTGACCACGATGATGGATGACGAGATAAAGAAGATATGCTAGATATAAATACATAATGGAACACTACTAGGTCATTGAAAAGATTAAATTGGGGTCCTCCCTGGTGGCACAGCAGATTGGAGTACTGCACTGCAAAGCTAAGCCAAGTGTGGCCACTTCTGTGCGAGTCCCCGCCCCAGAAGTGATCCATATGGCGCAACAGACCCACCTGTCTCGCCTGTTGCTCCCCTAAGCAGTGTACTTCTTCAGTGTGCCTGTTGTGCTCCCCACTCAGTTTCTGGTGAATCCTCTAGCTGCCCCTGCTCCTCTGGCCTGTACCCCAGTTCTGTATGAAAGAATGAATAAATCCTTTTTAAAAAATGAACAAATAAACCCCAAAACAGAAATAAACCTTTGACTCTGACAACAGAATGATGATTACCAGAATGGAAAGGCAGGATAGAGAGGGTCAATCAATTTGTGGTAGATAGTGATTAGAAATCTGGGGGTGGACTTGCTCTGATACAGTTATCTGGTGAGAAACTGAACACCTAAATCTTATACAGTATTTTAAATCAATATTACCTCAATTAAAAAACAATAAGGTAATGGGGTATTTTTCGGTCTTTGGTTTATTTCACTTAACATAATGGCCTCTAGAATCATCCATGTAGCTGCAAGTAGCAGTATTTCCTTCTTTTTAAAGACTAACAATCCATGTGAATATATAACACATTTTATTCTAAACATTCATTTGTTGACAGACCCAGGTTGTTTACACACCTTGACTGCTGTGCATAGTGCTTCAATAAACATAGCAATACAGATCAATATTTCAGTTCCCTTGAAAATGTACCTTAAAGTGGGATTGTTAGATTAATGATAGTCCCTATTTTCAGTTTGAGATTCTTCCGTATTATTTTCCACAGAAGCTATCTCAGATACAATCAACAATGCACAAGGATTCCCTTTTTGCCACATTCTGACCAGCATTTGTTATATCTGAAAGTTTAAATTTGCAAATAGTTCTTCCCAGAACTCAATAGTCTGGCTCCTCATGTTGTATATTCCAATAATACCCTCTACTTTTCTGTTGAAATATTCATATCTATAATTTAACCATTGGTTTACATGAGGAAAAGAAGACTGTGTCAACTTTGTTCACAGTTAATTTCAAACACTTAGTCCACTCCAGGAAATAAGAGAATCTTTGTGGATGAAAGGAAGAAATAAAGGAAGGGAGGGAATCAGACCAAAGGGAGACAAATTCCTAAACAACTATTGCAGCTGATGTATTAAGAGACATGACTTTCTACTACAGGTTTACACAACCCTAGGTTCCATTATTCCCCTCTAACAATGTGGGAAGGAGAAGAAGGCAAAGCATTAAAGTGAATTAATGGAGGAAAATGTAAAATAGAGAACAATGTTTAGGAGTACATGTGTCGAGATTTTTCATTAATGCAGTATTGAGTATCTACAACTTGCAGGCATTTTTCTAGGTATTCAGGCATACTTCAGTAAACAAAGGGGAGAAAAAAGTGTTTACCTCAAGGAACTCCTTCAGATCCGAAGTCAACTCCAGGTTCTACCACTTGATAAATGTCTTACTACCCTTTTACTTCACTTTACTCACCTCTAAAACATGAAGATCTGGTGACTAAATGAAAGAGTATCTTTAAAGTATATAATATTGAGCCTCCTTGGTGATGCAAGAGGTTAAATCTCAGTACTATGGAGCTATCAGCAGCCACTGCAACATGAGTTCTATCCCTGGCCGCTGCAACATGAGTTCTATCCCTGGCCAGGCAGCTGAACTATATGGCACAGCAGACCTCTCCTGTCTCATCTGCTGTTCCCCTCAGCAGTATATTTCAATACATCTGCCTGTTCTGCTTAATACTCTGTCTGGTGAGTCCTCTTACACTCTTGCACCATTGGCCTACACCCCAGCTCTTGTATGTCTAAATAATTTTTTTTAGGATTTTTTTTTCATTTTAAAACAATGTTTATTTCCCCCTCCCCCAATTCATCCATACATCATCACCACAGCCCCCACATTCCTCCCTTCCTCCTTCTGATCCCTCTTTCTCCCTCTCCTCTGTGGGATATCTGGTTTATAATTGTCTGTTTTTGTTTGGTTTGGTTGTGTTTTTTATTACAATAACAATAGAATTTTTGCCCTATGTCTTTCCACTCCTAGGGATCTACCCAAAGGACACAAAAACATTAATTCAAAAGGACAACTGCAACCCCTATGTTTATTTCAGCACTACTTACAATACAAAAAACTAGAAACAACCCAAATGCCCAAAATTAGATGACTGAATCAAGAAGATGTGGTATATATACACAATGGAATATTATTCGGCAATCAAAAAGATAAACTCATGCCATTCACAGCAACATGGATGGAGCTAGGAGGGATCATGCTCAGTTTAAAAAGTCAAATGATTCTACTTATAGGAGGAGTATAGAGAACCAAATAAATCTTTTAAAAAATTAAGTATATAATATAAAGTCTGTTACCTAGCAGGTCTTTATAGATAAAAAGCTTTATGGTGGCAAATTATATTTAAAAATTGATTTTTTTTCATATGTAAAAACTGTGTTATAGAACAGACCCAATTATTTATGGTAAAACATTTAACATTAGAGAGTGCTGAAACATGGGATGAAATAAAAAAAACTTTGGGAATTTTTTGTATAGATCTAATTTCCTCAAACTACTGCCAGCTATTATTCCTTAGCAGGAAATATTCATGAGTCAACTATCCAGAACTGACATTATTATTCAAGAGATATAGGTTTAAAAGAGGCTTGATGCCATTGGAAAACCTGATTTACTTAGACTGTTCCTCAAGTTAAAGAGCAGAATGATGTCTTAAGTGACTGAAATACATATGGCTTTAGGGTATATCAAAAAGACCTGAAAGATCCCAATGGAAGTAAAATTCATTACTGGCAAGCACAGTGACAGGACACCTCAGAGGACTAAGCCACAAAGAATTTGCAGAGCCTTGTGGCTAACTCCATACCCCAGTTTCTTGAAGACATTGTCTTGGATAATCCTCTCAAATCTGGTCCTGCACTTATGAGCCACTCAGCTTGTGACTGAGTGCTCCCTCTCAAGTTCTTTTACATTGACCTGTCAAACTGAACTTTCAGGAACACAGATACCATGTCAAATCAACCAACAGATGTCTCTCTCAAATGAGTTGGAAAAGAACCAACTACTGGAGAAGTCATAAACAAGGAAACATGCAACCCAAGGACTTTCAATGAATTGGCATAACTTTTTGTACAGAAAACTCAGTCTCTTGGGTAGAACAAGAGTTGTACATAATGTGAGAGCATCAGAAAATTGGCTCTTGTCTCAACTGAGACTCATACTGCTTGATAGAAGATATGGGGACATTTTAGAACTAAAGTCTTCATTAACTCAATAAGGTGTTCTTTAGTCTCTTGGCTAAAAAACAACAAACTTTAATAACTGAAATATAAAGATTTCAGAGAGAAACTCAACATCCAATCCCATTTCTGTCAATGACTCACTCATCATATTGGGAGGGTTGGGCCAGAACTGCTTGATCTCTGTTTCTGAAATCCCTACTCACTAACATCAGAGGATTGCACTGAAAGAAAATGAGTATCTCCAAGTGCTAAATCTGAGCATGCCACACTCATTCCAGGGCTTGGTCACAGACAAAAAGTTTTGGGGTCACCAATTCACAGACTATGCATTCGAACATTTGATGATTTTTACAGGTGAGTGGGCATACAAAACAAGAGCCAGGAGCTACATAAAACTACTCATATTGCAACAAGGAATTTCTCATTTGTATTACTGAACATGTCTCAGTTTGATGGTTCTGAAAATAAAAGAACTGAGGCTTTTAAAAAGGTGCAATTAAATATTTTTGGACCAATCTGGATTAGAAAACATGTTTGTGATATTAATAAGGCACTTCAAGGCAAATAGTGAAGTAGCCAAGTTTATCAGTAAAATTTTTTTTTGATAATGATTTTTACTATTCACGTGGACAGGCAACTAATACTATTATAAAAAATACTATTAAAAAAATTTCCAGTTCTCCCTGGTGGCATAATAGGTAAGGACACACAGCACTGAAAGCTAGCTGCAGCCGCTTCAGTGTGAGTTCGACCCCCCAGCACTGGACGTGATCCACATGGTGTGGCAGATCTTGCCTGACCACCTGCTGCTTCCCTCAGCAGTGTACTTCACCAATCTGCCCGTTCTGCTTCCTACTCTGTCTCTAATGAGTCCTCTCACAGCACCTGCACCTCTGGCTTATACCCCATTTCTGTATGTATAAATAATCTTAAAAAAAATCAAATTTCCAACTCAGTACTACCCACTTATGATTTAACTTTATTCTAGCAACATCCAATAATTTATTGAATATCTCCTATGTTCTCAGGCACAATGATAGACACTGGCAATATAATAACCATTGGATCTGGTTTCAAAGAATTTTCACCATCATTTGAACAATTTTATTTGCTGAATAAGTCAATGCAAAAAAAGAGGAGTCAGATCCAAGCTCACACCAAGAACCCATTTAGGTATCATTACTATCAATGCATTGCTGCAATCCCAAAGAATATATACAAATATGGCTTTTTTCTTCCTTAACCAATCTAAAACAAGTGTTTTCTAACCTCTACTTTCAGAGCTTCCTATTATTTTATGTATAAAATACGTCCTAATTTATAATCAATATTATTATCACATGTCAATATATTGGAATTATCAAAAACACTAACACTTAGCTTCAACCAAAGATTCAGATAAGACTTTGCAGAGGTGACCTTCACTGAATTCAGCCTTTAAGATAAGATGAGTGTATATATAGTTATTGATTACACAAAATGTAGTGTCCATCAGATTAAGTGAGCCTCTTCACATGTGTTGTTTCTAAAGGTCTGACTTTAAAACTTGAATCTTACTGAATTCAATCCACTATTCAGTATCAACATAGTGCCAGTTCTTAGTTTAAAACCAAAGTCTGCAAATTTTTCCTTTATACAGGTCTAGAATATGAACAATGAATAGAACAAATCTGAAAAAAGACACTCCTATAAATTTTTGTCCAGGTTTTCATTATTCTCTTAATAATTGCCTACTGTTGCACCCAAGGTTAAATCACTTACTATCCAACTGTGCCACTTGAGCTCACCTTGACTCATGGGGAAACTCATGGATGACTTAAGTTAAAACTCCCACTATCTTTTAAATAATGACACTGGCCATGCCAATGGCTTATTGCTTTCTGGTTTCTTGGAGGCACAGATTGGAACTGAATCCACAAACTGCAATTTATACATAGCTAAATTACAGCATAATCAGCTAAACTGCAATGTGGGCAAGGGGTGGCAAGAAAAACTCATATCACATCTTACTATGTATGCCCAAGTCCCTAAGTACTTTATTTATATTTAGATAGTCATACTCCAAAAATGCATTAAGTAGCTACCAATGTGTCCATTTTACCAATAAAACTTAGAAAAATTAATGATTTGCCTGAACTAGGAACTGAGGCAATATGTGAGTAAAATATTCTTTCCCATATGCTATACCCTCTTCCCAGCTTAAAACAGCTCACCTTTACCCATTTTTAAGACAGTTCATCTTTATCCAAGAAAAACACATTGGATGCTGAAGACTTAAGAAATTCTGACTTACAGAAAATATGAATTGGAATCAAAATGCCTAGTAAACATTTTATTGACTAAGTATTCTGAGTTGTCATTGAATCCTCACATATTTATGTGCTGTAGACTGAATTTTGATTCTCCCAAATCCATATGTTTCATACATATTCATATATATTTTCCAAGTCCCAACTGGACTGTATTTAGAGATAGAGCTTTTAGGAGGCAAGTAAGGTTAAGAGAGTTCAAGGATGGGGAGCATATCAAGTAGGGTTGGTGGCCTTATAAGACAAAGAAAGAAATTTTCGCTCTTCCTCTTTACTGTGTTAGGGCACCGGGAAAAGGTATCCATCTGCAAACTAGGAAGAGAGTCTCATCAAAACTGGCCATGCTGGCACATTCTAAACTTAGACTTCCTGCCTCCAGAGCTGTGGGAAACTAAGTTTCTGTTGTTATTGTAACATGTCTTTTTTTTGTTTTTGTTTTTTTTTTTTTCCTGCTTATGGCAGCCCTCACAGACTATAAAGCAGTAAGGACCATTTTATAAGGTAAACATGTGAGATTCAAATAGGTTTTTAAAACATTCAATGAGTAAAATAGGTTATTCTACAGATTTACTTATTAAATCCTGGTATATAGTTCCAACCACTGGTGTATGTGGTGTATTTCCCTTCAGGAAATTAGCCTAAATACCCATACTCCAACAGAATCAAGAAAGAAAATGTGAGAAAATTCAGGGAATGTGAGAAAATTCAGGAAATGTGAGAAAATTCAGGGAAAATTCAGTCTTATATTGGACAGGTGGTCATGAACTTTGTGGTTAGATATGTAAAGCAAACATCTGCCACTGACATATAAGTGCTAATCCTGCTTATTCCTCATCTTGTGAAAGGCCACAGATGCTTCCATAATGAGTGTTTGCTTTCCCAGATACATCACATGCAGTGTTTCACTGAGTCACCTTTTCTATTCAGAAGGAATAAGTAGGGAAATAAAGTAACTGCCAAGATAATTTGATTCCAGGATTAAAATATAATATTACTTGGTAGCTTCTGTGGCACTTTAATGTATGTTTGGCAGAAAGTAGGAAACAAGAGAAATTACCAACTACTGGAGATTGCATATTTCTCAAACCTTTTTTAATTTTTAAATTACTTCACTCCTTTTCTGTAGTTACTGAGTTTTAGAATAGGGCACAATAATGTGCATTATATCCCCTGAGTAATAGGTCAGCAGGCAGATGCTTGAAAGGTAAAGTTATATGGTAGCAATGAACATATTAGAGTTCAAATTTGACTACTAAATTCAAAATCTTAGGTTGTGCTTAACCCATCATTCCAAGAATTCCACCAAGAAATGTAAAGACCTTTATCTTTTGATTATCATGTATCAGACTACAACCTTCCACAAACTCTTAGTAGTAGAGAGGGACTGTTCTTAAGAGTTGGAGAGAACTTATCAGTATCTGGAACCATAATAAATTATAAGTTGTAGTCAATAAGAAACAAGAAAGTATCTATAAGTAACTATATATTTATATAGTTGATTATATATATATATATATATATATATGTTGCAAATACTAAGCAACTACTATTGCTAAATAATATGTGCAAGGTAGTGTATTAGCCTTCTAGGGTTGCCTACAAAATAGCACAGACAAAATCACTTAACCAGTAGAAGTAGATTTTTCTCACAGTTCTGCAGACTAGAAGTCCAAGATCAAAGGGCCAAAAAATTTGATTTATCGTGAGACATCCCTTCCTGGCATCTCATTGTGCCCTCATCACTTTTTCTCTATGCACATGAAAAAATAGAATGATTTCTTAGGTCTCTTCCCCCTCTTCTAAGGACACCAGTCTGATCAGATCAGGGCCCCACTGTTACGACTTATTCAAACCTAATTTCCTCTTTAAGGGACCTATTCCAGACACAGTAACACTGGGTGGGTTAGCATTTACACATATGAATAGGAATGCGAGATCCAATCCATAAGGAAAAACAAGATAGGTAAAGGTAAAAAGATGCTGATTTTCTTAAGGTTATAACCTAGAGATAGGCTGGAGAGTGGAAACCAATACATATCCCATGCATAACTATAGCATTTAACCTGATAGAAATTCGAGAAATAAAATCCGTATTTCCTCTGAAACTGACAAAAGAAAAGCTAATGAATCAGATGTAAAATGATTCAGAAAGGCTTCCTGAAAGATTTATTAAATAATCCCACAAATATAGGATTCCATAATTATTCTGAGAGAAATTTCAAAATGAGTGACCTGGAAAAATATAATCATGGAATGAAATCTTTAAAAGAAAACAACGTAAAATTGATGGAAAACAAAGTTTGAAAAACCTGAAGAAAGTTTGCTTCAGGAACTCAATAATTGTTCTGTGGGTAGAACATTATCTAATCATATCACATGGTACAGAGAAATCTTTCATGAAAGGAAAAGTCAACTGATGCAGCAAGCTTAATTGTTGTCTTATTTGAAGAAATTGCTAGAGCCACCCCAACTTTTAGCAACCACCACCCTAATAAGTAGGCAGTCACTAATATCAAGGCAAGACCCTCCACTAGAAAGAGTATGACTTGCTGAAGGCTCAGATGATGACTAA